GATATTAAATATTACACGATTATAATTACACAAGTAAGTGAATATGAATGAATTGGTAGTAAACAGTAACATTGTCTTTTAGGCATTGAATTTTATGAAAAGATTTGAAAAAGTCTCCATGTGCCCGTCAAAAGGAGGTTTCTTCTGTGTCAATAAGAGAATACCTCTAAAGGTGATATTACTTGTCTTATTTTTAAATAACAACTGTTAATAATATACGAAAACTCGGCTTATAAAATTATTTATAACATATACAGTAGAGCGTCGTTTATCCGAATCAATTGGGGACAGGGGTTGTTCGGATAACTTATTTTTCGGATAATGAATTATATGCGAAAAAATATGTTAACCTATCCCATGTTGAAATTTTTCTCTGTTGCATGTGGCTTTATGTTGAATTTTCGTCGATGTTAAGCCTAACGTAAACTTTTTAAAATAATAATCGTGGCTATTGTATCGTTAAAAATTATTTCTTTATTTTTTACAAACAAAATAAATATATTAAAAAATATAAAAACAAAAAAAATATACTTTAGAAGTTTATCTAGTATCAAAAACGTTCGATTCAGCAAGACACACAGTCTCAGAAAAACACCACACAAAAGTGCCAGTGCTGCCAGCTAAAACATACACACACACACCAACAAAAAATATTGGAGTAGCCCAAGATATAGCCAAAAATTGCAGCGCCACAGACCTAGCGAAATTATAAATTTGCCAAATGGAGTGCTTTTGGTTAACCGACGTTTCGGATAACCGACATTCGGATAAACGACGTTCTACTGTAGTTATTAAAGTAAATAAATTTTAATAATACGTTCGCTTATTTTCAGATGGTGAAAACTTTACATTCAGTGTTTTCAGGACTTTTAAAACTAAAAAAAGGTACCAAGAAAGAAAAGAAATTGTATTCGAATGTCAATGGACAATGTCACTAATTTAATATAGGACAGCTAAATTAGAATTATTGTATTAGAAAATATTCTTATTGGTATTGATTCGAATTACTGGAACAACGCATTACACATTATCTGTGTATTTTTAACATATAAATCTGCTGTCTGAATTAGATTTTAACGCGATGTTTCCTGGTACGAAAATTTATAAGAAATTTTAATATTCGATAGAACTTTAAAATAAAATTATCAGCTTAGCTATTTAAGATGAAGAAAAATATTTATTTGGACATTTACAAAGATAATAAGACCACTCTGTGCTATTTAATACTCAAATATTACTTTAATACAAATAAATACAGTTATTATAAACATATATAAAAAATTAAAGTGATAAAATATGATGGTGAAGTGTAAAGAATCACGAAAATAATTGAAAGTTAAGTAAGAAAGAAAACACCAAACACCAATTTCAGCTCACAGAGTTACATTCAAAGAGTTCTGAATTTAATTCTTGAGGTCTACGCTTTAAAGTTACAACAAACGGTTTCAGATAAATATGAGAAGTATTCATTAATACCAAATATTGAAATTCCTTAAATTCCTTTAATATGATATTCATATTAAAATAATTAATTCTGTTCGAAATGTTTTATTTGCAGAAATGATTAAGAAAACGTCTGCTTTTCATATAACTTCAATTGTGTTTATCAATCCCCGGAAAATTCCTGAGGAATTTTCGACCCGTCCAGATTCGTTCCCGGGTCCCCAGAGCGGTCAAATACAACTATCGTGGACCAGTGAACGAATGCGACCCTTCCTCGCTCTGCAGTCCGGCCGTGTGTTGCTTAATAGTGTTAAAAAGTAGCCTATATAAAATATAGGCTAGTTTTTAACTATATTAAACAAAACATTCTGAAAATACAAAATCGGAAGTTTCAAATTCTGACAAATTTTGAATATCGGATTTCAAAGATTTTCAGTTTGTATGAATTCGCTTTTCATTTCATAATTTGTTCTAATTTCATGCATTTGATGCATTTGTTACAGCGCTGCATAAACTTGTTGATGCGTGACTAAAAAAAGCTACGTGTTCTTTGTTTTTGGAATTCAGCCCATGTTACTGGTTTACATTTTTATCATTATACAGCCGAAGTCTACATTAATAATATTTAATCAAACTGCTTTCCGGGCTATCATGAATGTCGAAACTCTTCAAACAAAATGGCCAAACACTTCTGTTGTTGTACCTGCTGTGTGCACATTGTCGTGCGTGTAAGCGGCTGTTTCGGTCAGAAATCTTTGTGTTTACTTGATGAAAAAGATGAGTGCAATCAATCATTAATTAATTGACCGTATTTTTAGAAATTCCGTTATTCGATTGTTAAATCATAATTTATTTTATTGGATTCTTTCTTTCTTGAAATAAGTGTTCGGTTTTTTTATTGCACTTCTCTACATTTTCATGTCAGCAGAGTACTATCGATATTACAAAAAGCAGGACGTTTTACTTTATATAAAAAGTTAAGTTTCGCATTAGAACTGTTATATTCTCTACTTGAGATTAATTTTTGATGAGATTATCTTTAGAGGAAGATGTATCGAATTACCGTAGTTACATAATGGCTCCACCAATTACGATTACTAATAGTATTATATGAATCACTAGCAGATGGGCCCGGCGTTGCCCGGGCAAAAAGTAACGAGAACGAAGATTAAGATTATTACGTTATAGCCAATCTTGCCCGTTTTCACAGAATGCAAGCATTAGGTTGCCCTGTTTCCAGACTAATTAGAAAATTTTTAGATGGTATAAAAATATGTTCGATTTCCCGCAAAAACGCAAAAAGCCGCCTCTGCGCCTGTAAATCTTGCACGTCACTTTCTCTTAACACTTTAATTGTTACTTAACTACTTCCATTGTTAATACTTTCATTGTTAACAGTTCCATTGTTAACACTTCCCCCGCGGGGAAGTTTAACAACCTCTCTCCGCGGGAGGAATTTCGAAAAATTCCTTCTTACTGTACGTTTCCATGACGCATCCTAAAGCCTGGACTCCACATTACCGGAATCCGCGACGTAATCATAAAACTGAAAGCCAAACTGACGAAACTTCCGGTTTTGGAACGTTCTGTTGGACAGAAACAAGACTGAAAGAAGAGTTAAAAATTATTTAACTTTGCCGTTTTCGTTTCGCGCTTCTGTCGTACTACAACCAATATAATCGCAAGGATTTGTGACGCGTAATCACGTGCATTAGTCACGTGCTGTTTGATTGTCGTAATGGCGGAAAGTGTAGCGAAAACGACGAGGAAACAAATAGATTTTGAATTCTTCATCGAAGAAGTTAGAAAATACACATGTCTGTACCACAAAAAATGTAAATAATTCAAAGATTTTTAACAATTTCTTTGTTAATAAATGCTGAGAAAGCATGGCAAAATCCGTAGCGTCGTCCATGTTTGAATCTACAACAATTACAGAACTGATCAACAGATGGCGCATTTCTAGTGGAGTCAAGTTAAAACGAAAACTCTATATGTTTCAGTTCTACTTCTGAGTTTCTGTTTTCAGGTAATGTGGAGTCCAGGCTTAACTGTGTACCAAATTTCAAATTTCAACCTTCAACTCCTAATCGTTTGGGCTGTGCGCTTCTTATTATTAATCCGAGTGGCTATTTCAAACAGTAATTTTGGCATCTAAAAATAATATTGTCGACGATATCTACTTTAAAATTGAAAAGAAAATTTCCGGTAATATTCAAAAGAAAATTCAGAACCAACAAGAGCTCTTCCTCTTTTAAGTTTGGGAATTGTATAAAATATAAATCAAATCAACTTTAATTAATTCCTCGCCTACTGAACTTTAGAACATGAACGATCCGCCTACTTAATTTCGAAGAGAGCTGTTCCGGAAAATACAAGGATTGGAGACTTTATTACTCGATCAACAGTATAATATAAGCTATTTATCCTGCCCGCGCCTTATTGCACGCTCTTTCTCTACTTACAACCTGATAGCGAACGCGATTGTAATTCGATAATGGAAGCGATTGTAAATCAATGCGGAACGAATTTCACGTAACTTACATTTAGCACCATACTAACTTTGTAACCTTAAATTCTGATATATAAACTAAGTCATGTATATTTAAAATAAACTGTTATTTATGTTATAAACATCTCAGAGAGCTCTTCTTCTGTTCTCTTTGTTCACTCCATTCCGGGTCCAAACTCATAAGTAAACGCTCGCGCAAACTTGTGGTCTCTGTATTGACTTAAGAATACAGTGGTGTCATCCTGACGTGGTATCGAAGAGATACCGGACCTTCGGTCACATAAATTCTGTCTCTCGCTTAATTTAAAACTCATATGTGTTGGAGCACGATTTTCCTCTTGCGTGGATTATTTGTAATAAGTTAGAACATCTTCAAAGAAGTTCTGCATTTTTTGTAACATAATATGTTGTTTTTTGAAATTTAAGTTCTTTTGTAGCTGATTTGGTGAGTTTAGGGCAAAGTAGCTGAGGGATTGAAGGGCGTATCCCGCCATGTAATAAAATACTGCAAGAATAGTCGGAAATGCCACAGTAAAAAATCTCAATTACTTATATTTTTTCGGTAATAAGAGAAATCTGAAAAACGACCACGAAGAATAGGAAAAAATAAGAAGTAGAAGAGCCAACAATTTTCAGTGGCACTTTGAATAAACTAATGCCATTAGCAATAGATACCCTCAGGAATCCTGTCATAATTGTCTAAATATAGAGATCTGTTGGCCCGTATGAAGCAGTGTCGTAATAATCTAGCAACGATTGCTCTAAAGCATATTTTCATTCGTCCTAATTTATTAAGAGAAATTTGAAACTTTTCTAACATACAGTTATATTACAATTACTCATAAATTATGCAAAAATAGAATAAAAGTCTAATGTTTAATATTTCAGACAATTACCTCTTACTTTATTTTATTAATAAAGTGCTCACCTGATGCAATAAGTCATTATAGTAATTCAAAATACTCTGTAAAGCGACTTATAAAATTATAAATTTAATAACTAAGGAATAATTTATATTATCAAATGTTTTATCGACAATAAGGTTGAATTTTTTACACATGCAAGGTAAGTTTATGCAAATGACTGTTGTCTTACTGAGATTAAAAGAAACTCGAATGCTTTGAATTTTTTTAAAGTAGTAATTGATAAATTTCCTGATAATGGCCACTTTGGAGCAGATTCGAGAATTCAGATCCGATAGAGGTAATAATTAGCAACTTGTACAACTATAATCGGTTTATGTATTTTTTTTCCTTTATCGAATAGCATGTTCACGTGTTAACATTTCTAAATAATTAAGAGATAAACGTAATGACGTGTTATCAAAGGTAAATGTGATGAGAATATCGATCAAAATATAAATATTCTTTTTTGAATAAAGGTGGAAACACCGTGTCAGTTTGCGTGGGTTGTCGCCACCCCTCTTGGTCGGATTATTATGGTGCACCCGCTTGTAGACGTTGTACAAGATTATTCGTGAAAGCAATTCGAGAAAGAAGGTGTTACATTTGTCGTGCATATATGGGATTGTGTCTTTCTACAAATGATCCTACAAAAAGATGCAGATTTTGCGATCTAGAAAGGTTATACAGACGTGGATTGAAACCGATAAGATTTGGAGTACACGACGATAAATGGTACATGCTGGATATGATTCCTTATATAAGAAGAAGAGTAGTTATTGATTATGACCCTGGAGTAAGTTTTACTGTAGAATCTCGTGTATATTATAAGATACATAGAACAGTTTTATTTAAGATTAATATTATTTAATATCTTTAGATACCTCTTGTACACTATGAAATGGGTATAATAAATCGATTCAAGTACAACTGTTTTCAATCATATTTAAGATGGTTTGAGAGATATTTATCTGAGAACCCTTTTATTAACGAAGAGGGATTGGTAAGTTAATTGACCTTTTTTATAGACTTTATATGTTTTGAAAAACTAATTAAGCTTTTTATTTTTAAAAGGAACTATTACGTTATGATTTGTTAACGAGAGGATTGACTATGGCAGCAATTCTCGAATGCATAGAAATTCACGACGTGTTGAAAATTGAATTTCGTTACTTTGATCCATATCAATGCCTAATTTTAGATAATCAAACCTGGTCAATTAATATTTTATATAATGTACGCCAATTTCTTGAGAAATGGAGAGAAAACGGCCCTAACGAAATCGATGTCTGGATGTACACAGTTTTGGTAACCATCTCTTTTCTATTGAAATATACAGTCTATCGTCGATATAGCTTCGTTATGAATAGCTCTACTGTTATAAAACGCCAACGAATCCTCATGAAAGGATCTATTCTATAAACACTAAAGACAAAACTCATCTATTTTAAATATCACCAAGTAACGTGAATTTCAAACACTGAAAGTAAAACCTGTTTATCCCTCATTACTATATATAACTTTTCTTTGTTTATGATGTTCAGTTCACAAACACAAATAATTTAGTGCACGTTTCAAAGCTGAACACATCTTGGAGCTAAATCGATGTTCGACTTTATATTTTTTAATCATTTGATATATTGTTTTAACACCCGTATATCTATGTCTCTTTCTAGGGTATAGAGGGCACAATGGATTTAAATTTATAAAAATTTATCATCATTTTCCTTTGCACTGTTATTGTATAAAACTGAGAAATTGTATCGTTGTAGTTATATTAAACTCGCCGACATTTTCACGAATGATCTTACAATGTTCAATCTTCACCATTTTAATTGTATTTAAACAAAGATAAAATGGAAAAGGTATGTGCTTGAAGATTAAAAAAACATGAATTTAAATGTGACAAAATGTTAATTTGCAGTTTTTTGTGCTTGTCGTTACAAAATTTTAAAATATGCTTTTTGTATCGCTTTTAGACTGATTTAATAAATGCTTTTTGAATATAAAGTTTACAAAATATTTTGTAAAATTTACAGACAAAGAAGAAATTGGTAAATGATTTAATGAATGCCACAAAAATATGCTTATCGAAAGAAATTTTTTACTCATATTGTTTTCCTTTAAAATATTCTTACAAGAGCTTATATTAATTGCGTAATAAGTAAGATATTTCACATTAAAATATTAATTTAATGTGAAAAAAATGAATTTCATATGATAATGGAATATGTGGAATAAGATATCAAGTAAAACGATATTTCTATTTATAACATTTATGAAATTTCTCAGATAAAATACGAGGAGAGTAAATTGTTTTGGAGAAGTCTTGTAAATAAATAAAAAACGAATATCAAAAACAATAAGATACATCGTATAAGGGAAAAAATCAAAAAGAAATGAAGAATATGGTGCGTAGACATGATCAAAGAAGTTACACAAGTTGTCGATTTCTAAAGAGTTTTAAATTGGACAAGATAAGGATCATGATCAAATGAAATTTATTTTAACTAACTGATGGCTGTGGGAGTAGACTTCATCTCGTTTTCCTGGAGATCGGAGTTTAGTTCGGCTCAATTTTACATTTTTAATGGCTCGTCTGTCTCAGATGTGCCAGCACTTTATCTGACAAGGTGGCGGTCAGAATGACTAATGAAAACTACTGATAGAGACTAACGTTGAGATCGAACTAAATTTTAGAAATAGAGCATTCTGCTGTGTTTTCTTCGTTGCATTTTCATCTTTATTACAGTAGCTAAAGATCAAATAAGTGAACTGCAATATTTCCAACCTCATATCGTTGATCTACAATGTTCATTCTACATCTGTACGTTGTACGTGTCTATAATGTTTTGTGGTAATTCGTACACAACTATTGAAAACGTGGTGTAAAAATTTTTATCTGATGGATATAAAATATATGTAAGCAAGAGTATATGCAATAAGAACACGAAATAAACATACTTGAACTGTTCAGTTTCAGAAATGTGTTTATTTATTGTAAAAATAAGTTATATCTAATGACAGTTATTCGTATAGATAATTATAGCATTTTTATAACATTGAATTAATATCTAAATTATGAATTTGAAATAATTTTTGTAGATGTAATCTAAGACAACAATTTTATTATCGATACATTGTAGACAATTGTAAATCGTAGATAATATATTGTAGATTGAAGCAGTTGTCCTGTAACTACTATTTCTTAATTATTCACTCTTGTGGCCAGCTGAACATGCTCCGACACAACCATACGTAAAATGTATCAGAATCGGTAATTACAGTGTATAATTACCATTCATATCACTATGGTTTTTACTTAGTGGATATCGGTATGTGATTTATCGATTATAACATTTTTCTCTCTTTTTAGAAAATATATAGTACTGGATTCTTTGGATACACTCAAGCCTCAATTTAGTGCCGCTCATTATTGGCTCTTAAAATTAGCACTAAACAAAATAAAATTGAAACTCGAAATACTTCAAAGAGGACATAAGTAATGGGTATGCAAAGTTATCTGTAAAAAGAACAACTGTGTAAATATACCCAAATTTGGTATACACACTGTTTTGACTGTACAGTTTTACTTTTAAAGAAAAAGTTTAATTTTGCTTTGCATCGCGCTAGAGCACTACTGGCGCTGCCGCATCGTTAATGTATTACGTACAGTACATTGTGTCATTTTCTAACAAATTTCGTGAATTAAGAAACAAATTACAATAATTTTATTTCAATAACAGATGTGATTACAGCTGTGGAGTGCAGAATTCATAATTAAATCAAAGATATGACACTGATTCCTCCATTCCTTGCCTTAAAACAGTTCAAATAAAACAGTTTTAAAAGCACGGAATGAAGTTTTATTCGCTGGACTGCTCAACTCAATTGACCTGAATCAAGTTGTGAATTTATAGGCAAATGTGAATTTTGCCTATTAACACATCTAAGTTAAAAACATACCTAAGAAGCTTCGATTATAAAAGTTAAGTTAGCTCGATAATAAAATGTTAGACGGTCAGGTCTGATGACTGTCGCGGTCATGACGTTGGAAACGATCGATTAAGCATTCTCTCGTATGAAAAATAATATTAAAGTATGATTTAAAAATGAAAATGTTGTACTCCATCTTGTATAAAACTTGTGGGATTCAGACAGTTTATCTGTACAACGGTGGAATGAAGTCTTTTTGCAGTATACCTCACCGCATTCGAAGCACACGCTCAGGTGACATTAGAAGCACTCGCCAAGATGAGTTCTCATCCAAAAAATAACGAGCAACAATAAAGGTAGCACGCTGAACTCTCGCCGTTGGCACAGTGACGGGCAAAACTTTAAACACAAGGAAAAATTCCACCTAAACATAACATAATTAAAACTATTCGTTCAATCATGTTCATATGCTTATAAAAGTAAATTAATAGGTGTATACAATAATAAAAGGATAGTGTTTGAATAGTTCTTCCAAAAAGTAGAAAACCAGATAATTTATGATGACAAAACTTTAAATACAAATGAATAAATAACTACAAATTTTCATATAAATGTAAATAATTAAGGATGTGTAAAAGTATAAAGAGATCAGTATATATCTGTGTACAAAATCATGTCAAACGTGTGAAAAGGTGTAAAAGTAGCAAAGAAAGAACCGGGACAAATTGATAGTTTATGTCACAGTTACAAAACTGTCTTGCTGTTAGCTACTCAAATAGGTAGGAATCAAACTGCTGTGTACAACTATACTAAAAAGGTAATAAATACAACTCGAGAAACAATGATGGAAGACCTTCTATGTTTAATGCAAGAGCTAATAGGCAAATTTTGAACGATGCAAGCAACAGTGTGACATCAGCATCAAAACTTATCAATCAATCAATTAATCAATCAATTAATTAGATCAATCAATTAGAGTTAAAATTTCATTCCTGCACTGTTCAAAAAGTGATAAAATCAGGACGACTGAAAAAAAGAAATGGTAAAGAAAACCTCAAGAAACTAAAAAGCATAAAACTGTAAAATTGACTTATGCATCAGATGACACGTCCTGGGATACAGAATGGCAATAGGTTTTTTTTTTTTTTTTTGTTTAAATGAAAAAAGTTCAACTGAATGGTTCAAATGGTCTATTATTTTCATTAATTCCAAAAAGAAGAGAAGTTTTTATCTCGACGACAGATGGTTAGTGGTTTTATTATGATGTGGGGTGTCATTTCTTGCAAAGAAAAGTCACCTATTGAATTCATAAATAAATGAATAGATTTAAAAAGTATTAGAACCTGATTGAAATTACTTTACTTCGAAATTTACTAAAATTAGCAAAGAAGGAAGTAATATTTTATATAAGATAATGCTTCTGTCCATTCATCTTGCAGCACAAACAATTGGCTTTAGCAAAAACAAGTTTAACTGTTAGATCATTCACCCTAATCTTCAGATCTAAACCCGAATGAGAATATATAGGGTGTGCTTTCAAGAAGTATATACGCTAATGGCAAACAATACAGTTCAGTAAAAGACTTAGAAGTTGCAGTGGAGAAATATGGCATGCTATACCATACTTAAAACATTTTTATGAGTATGCCAGACTGTATTTTTGAGGTTATTCAAAAAAGTTGAGGGTCCACAAGATTTTACTCTATTATAAACAGTTATTTTTACAGTTATATTTGAAGTTCTGTCAACGTAAATTACTTGGTTTTCTACTTTATGGAAAAATATTCCAACACTATTTTTTAATCATTATATAGATCTATTAATTTGCTTTTTCAAAGCATATGAACATGATTGAACTAATAATCTTGAGATATTTGTTTAGGAATATTTGTTTGTATTTTCAGTTTTGTCCACTACTGTGCAATGAAATTTGTTAGTAAACATGTGGCTCTTCGCCGAACTAAATACGGCATAATTTCAGTATTCACCTCAACAAACAAGTGATAATGAGGTTAATTATTCCAGGACACAAATATGTCTTACGTTTCTCATCAGTTGCAGTAGAAAATTGGCGCATAACAAATATTGATAAAGGTGTACATACCTCAATAATTAAATCTTTACAATGAACACACAACATTAAGTTCAATATCATTTAACTGTAACCTCGTAGTTATTGAACACGAAGAAATATAAAATAATAAAGAAATGAATTACTGAATTTACGAGAGTTATGCTACATCATCAAGTGGTTGTAAAAGTTCTCCGATTATTATTAACACCAGAAACCAATTCTTGGCTTTTCTATATAAAAATGCAAGATTTCTTGCAGAACTTTTATAGTGTCATTGGCACTACTGCTGCCACGAGAATTTTCATTTCTTTTTCAAATTTTCACCACTATTACAATAGAAACTTTTTCAAAATTTCAAATGTCCGATTAGTTTGAAACCTCTTTCTGATTTCACATTCAAAGTATTATTTTTACCGAAACAAAAAATATTTTTCTAAGATTATTAACAGTCAGAAAACCTCTGTAATCTTTTAATACCGAGTTGACTTTTCAGTGTCATTGGTATGACAGGAGTAATAACAGCGATAATAACAAGCTGTAATACACAGTAACAAAGTAATTATGTAAACAAGTAATACACAGTGAAATTGTGCCATCTGTCCAAGAAGTGTGAAGAACGTTTTTAGGTTTTTTATTCGAATTTAGTTAGAAAACTACTTTATAAGAAGCAAGAATCCAAAGAAGAATATGTAATATTAAAGAACTGAACGAAATATACGTAATATTTCGTTCTAGCGGACGTTTTTTCTTTCGGAAAATCGAAACAGCATACTCAGAACAGTGTGTGTCCCAAATTTTGTTGACATGTTTCTAATATTTTATTTAATATAGATATTTGAACAGCTTAGTGTTTAACTGTAAGAGATTGCCGCAAATTAATTTATAAACGGTAAAAATTTTCTAAATTTTGTTACATAAACATACCTAGAAACGTTCATGCAAGATTTTCAAACAATAGCAAGGATTAACAGAATACTTTGT